ACCTGCGGCGGCTGACGGATGCGGGAGGCACAGCCCTAGGCAGCCTGCGGGAGCTGCAGAACCTGGACATGGCAGAGTGCTGCCTGGTGAGCGGGTGGGAACTGGCCCAAGCGCTGGGCTCTGCCCACAGAGCTCCACCCCCACTGACCTCCCTGAGCCTGGCCTACTGCTCTTCACTGAAGGTGAGCGCCCTGTCCTCCTACCTCGTAACCCTCCAGGGCCAGGGTGGGAACTGGTGTGTGGCGTCAGGGAGGGGCTACTTAGTGTTTGTGTCCAAGGAAGGTACTTAGAACTGAACTGGGGCACAGTCTGGAAGAGTACAGGAGCCTAGACAGACACTGCTGCTGTCCCCCACAGAGCCCCCACTCGGCCCAGGCAGAGGCCCAAGGGCCCAGGTGGCCCAACATCTCACATGCCACGTGCTTCTTGACTATGCACTGGGGAGGGGGAGGGGGCCTGATGAGAGGGGGCGATGGAAGATTATGGTGGGGGAGGCACACTGCAGAAAGTGCTCGGAGGAAGTGTGCTGTGGCAACAGCAGGGTCGCTTTCTGGCTGAAGCCAGGTCCTTCATAGGACTCAGCTCTGTCCCTCTGGGTTGGTCCCTCTTTAGCAGATGATTTCTTCAGCCTAGCAATGACTGGGGCACTCCCAGCCCAATGATGGTCTCTCGGCCTGGTCTACCTGCAAGCAGCATCCCCCCCTCCCCACCCCACTCCATCTTCACATTACGTCCCAGAGTGACGAATCCCGCTCCAGGCCCCAACTCTGGTTGCTCTGCAGCTCTCCTCTCTGCATCTCTCTTATCTCTCTCCAAACCAACTTCCTCTACTCTGCTGTTAGTGCCTGCTCCCCCACCAGCTTCCACAACCCCACCAAGGAGACCTCATGGTCCTGGTTCAAATTCTAGAGGGACGGGACCAGCAGTTAGCATAATGGCTATGTCGCTGGACTCCCACATAGTCGACCGCAGTTCGTGTCCCGGACCCGGTGGCTTAAAACTCACGCCGGGCACGTGTGTGTGCGTGCCCAAGATCCCGAGAGGAGAATGGAGAAGGGATTGCAGTGTGGCCATCCCCCCTGGGGGGTGATTTCTCGCTTTCTGTCTCTCTGTCTGGTGAGCGCTTGCGCCCTATAGCAAAAAACCTCTCCAAAAAAAAAAAAAAATTCTAGAGGGAGCATATCTTATTGGCTCAGCTGTCCACTCCTGGTCCAATAAGCCATGGTCAGAGAGCCGCCTCTGCCCTCTTCAGCAGGGTTGAGAGCATCGGTCGGACAGCCATTTTAGAATTTCCCACCTGCCTCCTTGCCCCAGCCATAGTGTCCTCTGGCAGCCTCCTCCGGGTCTCCCACCCCCCACCGCCCACCCTGTCCACTCTGACCTTTCACTGTCAGCACAAGGGATCATGCTGTGTTCCATTGTTTGTGGGGTAGGAACCTTGGGCAGGCCCTTCCAAGTGGCCCCTGCCACACCCGGTGACACAGGCAAAATCCACTGCTCCATCCTCTCCTCCCCGTCTCTCCCCTAGGATGCCTCAGTGCTCTCCATGATCCCGGCGCTGGGCCCGAGCCTCAGGGTGCTAGACTTGTCTTCCTGTGTGGCCCTCACCAACCGGACCGTGCAGGCCATCTGCACCCACCTCACCCACCTCTCAGTCCTGCGCCTGGCTTGGTGCAAAGAACTCCGGGACTGGGGGCTTCTGGGGTTGGGTGAACCAAGTGAAGAGCCCGCACAGGGGTCCCAGGTGTGGGACCCTCAAGGTCATGGAGGGCAGGGTGGCCCCTGGGCCCAATTGCCTGTCCGCCCCTCCCAGGTGGCTCTCTAGGAGCACGTATGTGCAGACTCAGAAGGGACCTGAGAAGAAGGGGCTTCTTTCCACAGCAATGTCCTACGCTGGAGTGTCAGGCCTCAGGCCTCAAGGAGCCCTCCCCGGATCCGCAGGGCCCCTCCCTGCTCATGCTGCAGGCCCTGCAGGAGCTGGACCTCACAGCCTGCAGCAAGCTGACAGATGCCAGTTTGGCCAAGGTGTGAGGCAGGAGTATGAATAGACTGGGGATCCTAGGGCTGGAGCCAGGGGCCTGGGCCAACCATGTTTTGCTTGGAACAAAATTCCTTGGGGCTCCTTTCCTATTGGCCATGCGCCTGCATAGGGGAGGGGGACCAGGAAAGGCCCAGTGTTCCAGCGCCATACTAAATCTGCCACTTCACCCTCATCCTCTCAGGTGCTCCAGTTTCCCCAGCTGAGGCGACTTTCACTGAGCCTGTTGCCGGCACTCACAGACACAGGCCTGGTAGCTGTGGCCAGGGGCTGCCCCAGCTTGGAGCACTTGGTGCTGAGTCACTGCAGCCACCTCAGCGACCAGGGCTGGGCCCAGGCAGCTGGGGCCTGGCCAAGGCTGCAGCACCTCAACCTGTCTAGCTGTAGTCAGCTCACAGAGCAGTGAGTGTGACCCTAACACTGAGCAGGCGGAGGCGCAGTGCAAGAGCTGGGCTGGGGTCCCACGCCAGGCCAAGCGCTCACCCTGTGGCCTCCCTGCAGAACGCTGGAGTCCATTGGGCAGGCGTGCAAGCAGCTCCGGGTGTTGGATGTGGCCATGTGCCCCGGCATCAACATGGCTGCAGTCAGGCACTTCCAGGCTCAACTGCCCCAAGTGACCTGTGTCCAGTCCCGCTTTGTGGGAGGAGCTGACCTGACCCTTACGCTCTGAGACCAGGTCAGTAACCAGCCCTGCAGCACAGCCTCCCCTTCACCCCTGCAGTCCCTGACCTCTTGAACTACATCTGACTCAGTGCCTCTTGCCTTCGGACTGGGGTGGGACCAATGCACGCCAGCCCAAGGGACTCCCTGTCCCACAGCCCAGCAGCAAGCTCTTCCCAGCCACATGAGGCCGCCTGGCCAGGCAGCCAGACCCACAGGCAGGCCAGGCCTGGTGCCAGAGGGGAGCAGAACCTGTGCCTCTCACCTGCCCTTCTCAGATCTAAAGCCTGAGCGCCACCTGTTCCCAGTCCATCAGCCCTGAGCTTTAGCAGCCACAGACGGCCGCATCGATCTTTGCTGTAAACCCAAACCGGATTAAAAATTCCAGATTATACCTCTTTGTCTGAAGTTCTCAGACTAAAGGGCCTCTCCCCTCTCCACCTCAGTTGAAGCAGCCCATCCCATGTTGACAGACTACAGAGAAAACACCAGAAGCTCAGTGACTTGCACTAGCCTCTCAGCCAGGTCCTAGTTTCTCCCCTAAGTAGGAGACTCGAGACCTGGAGGCCTCCCCGCAGCACAACCACCCCGGCATGCCCTGCAGCCCAGGTGCAACCGATTGATGATGCCTGAGTCCATGAGGCTGTCTTGTGGTGGGCAGGGGTCGGTAGAGGTCATCTAGTTCAACCCCCTAAACAGTGCCCGTGACTTCTCAACAGCAGCCCCGAGAAACAGCCTGCCTGGCCCTCCGTGTGCTCACGTTTGGTGTGCGTGTTCAGTCTGGGAGCAGCGGGCGCATTCCCACGCACCTGTGGGCACTGTGCTGGATGTAGGGAGTCAGAGGCCACGATGCTCTCTAGCCCCTGGTGAGCTGGGGAGGCGAACATGCCAACAGGCAGGGACAGTCCGGTGTATGGATACACGGGAATACAGACAGCCCAGGGCAGGAGCTGGACTGATGAGCTTGGCCTGGGAGGTCAGGGCAGGAATCAACGCAGTGAAAAACAGGCAGAAGGGATGGTGGGGGTCCACACGGGCAGGCCAGAACTGGTGCTGGGGAGGGGGCCGTGACCTTAACGGTGCAGGGTGGGTGCCAGCTCCAGCCAACCACCGAGAAGCCTGCGGGCCACAGGCATTCTGATAGACTAAAGCTCATATTTGCAACCTGTCTAGCTCAACTCAGGGCTCAGTCCTGGTAACAGACAGCTAATTAACCCCTGGACAGTAGGGAGACACTGAATGAGTGTGTTTGAATGTATACTCAGGCCTGACTTAGGTTTTTAAAAAGCAGCTGGGTAGGGGCAAGACCAGAGGCTGGAAGCCAGGAAGTTATTGTTCAAAATGATGGTGATGGGGGAACCAGCAGTTAGCGTAATGGCTATGTCGCTGGACTCCCACGTAGTCGACCGCGGTTCGTGTCCCGGACCCAGTGGCTTAGAACTCACACCGGGCGCGTGTGCGTGCGTGCCCAAGATCCCGAGAGGAGAATGGAGGAGAAGGGATTGCGGTGTGACCATCCCCCCTGGGGGGTGATTTCTCGCTTTCTGTCTCTATGTCTCTGTCTGTCTGGCGAGCGCACGTGCCCTACAGTGAAAATCTCTCAAAAAAAAAGAAAAATGATGGTGATGGGCCAGCAGGTGGCATGGTGGTTAAGGTGTTGGACTCCCACATGGCCCATCATGCTTCAAGTCCTGGACCTGGTAGTTTGAATGTGTATGTGTGTGTGCCCCAAATCTTGAGAGAATGGATATGGCCATCCCCCCGGGGTGATTTCTCACTTTCCCTCTCTTTGTTGTGTTTGTATGAGAGTGAGCAATGAGAAGGAGAGAGACATATTTTTGATGGGTTTCATCACATCATGATCATCCTGCCCCAAACTGCCAGTTAGCTAGGACTGTAGGCACACACCACTCCACCCAGCCTCTTAAGTTGGGCCTGAGAATCAAATCCAGGCCTCTTACGTGGACTGTCCCACTTGCACTGTGGCACCTGGGCCCTGAGTTGAAAAAAAAAATTTTTTTTGAGAGGTTTTTGCTACAGGGCACGTGAGCTTGTCAAAGAGACAGAAAGCAAGAAATCACCACCCCCCCCAGTGGGGGATGGCCACGCTGCAATCCCTTCTCCTCCATTCTCCTCTCAGGATCTTGGGCATGCACGCACACACATCCAGCGTGAGTTTAAGCCACCAGGTCCGGGACTCAAACTACGGTCGACTACATGGGAGTCTAGCAACATAGCCATTATGCTAACTGCTGGTCCCAGCCCTCATTATTTTTTAAAATTAGACCAGAGACAAACAGAGACAGAGAGGGAAAGTGAGAAAGCAAGCCACCAGCTCTGGGACTTGAACCATGATCAGCCATGTGGGAGTCCTGCACGTCAACCACCATGCCACCTGCTGGCCCCTATCAGTTATGTTTTTAAGGCAGAAGGGAAAACTTTGTCACTCTCTGTCACAGGCTTGGCCCACACGGTTCAGAGCTGGTTTGACACATACCCAAGAGCCAAGCAATCTTTATTTCCTGGGGCACCCTCTGCAGGTTAGGGTGTCTGCACCTCTCTACCCTGCACCCTGATGCTGCCCTGGTGGCCCTTGGCCAAGCTCACTGTTAGGGGTCAGCGATGCTGCAGTCATAGCAGAAGTTGAAGTTGGTGGGCGGCGGGGGTACAGGGGGCGGCCGCTCGGGGATGGGCACATTCTCCAGCTCCAACAACCGTAGCTTGGTCTCCATGGTCAGTAGCTGCTCCAGGTCCAGCCGTGTCTCCTCGCTGCCCATAGGACTGCCCAGCAGGGCACTCAGCCCATCCGTCCACAGGTAGAACTGGGGGCGGGCCAGCTCCATGAGGGCCTGCCCGTCTGGTCCCCTGCCCATCTGCCCAACTCAGCCAGGCCCAGACACTCACCTCCCTCTTGGAGGGAGCAATGAAGTTGAGGTACGCCTCCTCCTCCCCATGGTCATAGCTGACTGAGAAAGCCAACTCATAGAGGTCCTGGGGACGCACGAGAGTGAGGGCAGTAGGTAGGGAGCCGGGAGCCAGGGCAGGCAGGACAGACGCCCACCCATGGCATGACACTCACCTTGTTCTGCTTCCCGGATCCCTTCTCCCGGACGTGGGGACAGTCCTTGCCTGTCAGAAGTGCCCTGATGTCGGCCACAGGGACTGCAGAAAGAAGGCCAGGCTGACCACCGGGGCCCCAGGCAGCCCTGGGGCCTAGGAAGGTCTGGGAGAGCTGGTGTCTGCCCTGCCCCCGCCCCTGCCCCCTTACGCTGCTCCGGCAGGCTCTCTGGGCTGGGGGGTACAGCGCCCTCCTCCACATCCCCGTACTGCAGCACCTTGTGGTTGGGGGACAAACAGCAGAACCACAGCTTGTCTGTGTGGAGAAAGGGGAAGAAGGAAGGGTGAAGAGAGGCGCCCTGACCCCTCCCAGCCACCCTCCGCCCCTCCTCTGCCCACTCAGGACCTTGGCGCCGCCGGCTGCTGATCTTGCGGAAGAGTGTCCCCTCGCAGAGCCGGAGCAAACGCTGCTGGCGGATCAGGCCCATGAGCTCGGGCTTCAGCTTCTCCCGCAGCTCCCTGGTTTGGGGAAGAGGGGGCCACTGATCAAGACTGACCTGACATGCCCCAAGGAAGGTTGGGATTAGGACTGAGGACCTGCCCCCAGCTACTCACAGAATGGGAGGAGCCAGCGTGCCCTCCTGGTGCAGCCGCTCAGTCTGCCGCAGCCGCAGCACCTCCCCATAGGTGAGCGCGTTCACCTTGGTCCGGAAGAGTTCCAGGGAGGTGGGCTTCAGGGCCAGCGTGCGGGCCAGCTGCTCCCGCACCACCTGCATGACCTGGGGCCATACAAGCTCAGCTCAGGGTCTATGCTCTGGGCTGCTACCTGGAGCAGCCCCACCCCCACCCCCGCCATGGCCCTTCCCAACCAGCTCCCACCCAACCTTGTCGAAGTCCTCCTGTGTGGCCCGCATCTCCTTCCAGGTCTTATTGAGCAGCTGGATGCCCACGCAGAAGAGCTCATGGAAGCTCTGGTCTTGGCCGAAAAACATGGGTGAGAAGTCCTGGGCCGTTTCGGAGCCTGGAGCGGGGGGGCAGGAGGGGCTCAGGGAGGAAGCCTGTATAGCCCCTGGCCCTCTCTGCCCTTCCGTCCCAGTTCCCACCCACTATGCCCAGCACCACTCACAGGGCTCCCCAACACGCAGCAGCTCACACAGTAGCACTGTCAGCTGGATGCTGCTCCGGGCAAAGGGGCACTCGTGCTTGTCCTCACGACTGCTGTTCTCTAACACAAACTGGGGCGGCGCGAGCAGAGAGTCACAGCGAAGCCAGGGGTGATCTGACCACCACCCATGCTCTGCCCTGTCACTGACCCGGCTGTACGCGCTGGGTGCGTGTCTGGAGAAGTAAAGCATGTTGTCCAGGGCCAGCAGGCCGGGGGGCACACGCTCCAGGTCCTGTGCTGGGTTGCTGTTCTGGGGAAGGGGCACAGGCAGCTGAGGGAGGGCCCCAGCCCTCAGGAAAAACCACAGCCTGGGCTGAGGCAGGGGCAGGGAGCTGGGTGGCGGTCACTCACGGAGAAACCCAGTTTGCGGAACTCTCGGGCACAGAGGGAACGGCGACGGTCAGCGCTCAGCCCGGCACCAGAGGCCTCCCCCTCTGACTCAAAGGCAGCCTGGCGCAGGACCTGCAGCTGCTCCCGCTGCTCCTGAGGTCATTGTTGGGGGCAGGGGGATCAAGATCATAGATTCAAAGCCAAGCTGCAGGCCAGCCAGTCTTGTACCCCTACCCCCAAGACCCATACCTGGCTATAGGGGTCCAGTGGTGTCCGCATGCGCGGCTCCAGCAGCCCCAGTGTCAGGGCCTGCAGCACGTACAGGTGGTGAGCCATCTCGTCCCCCAGCGGTGCTGCACTGTGGATGATATTCTGGAGAACAGCCCATCCGTGGCTGTGAGCCAGGCCCCTGGGGAGGAGGCGTGGGGAAGGGTCTCCCTAGCCCGGGCCTTCCTACCTTATAGATGAACTGGCGAAGGTTCCTCTGCCACAGGTAGTCAAGCATGTGCTGCAGTGGGTGGAAGGAGGCATGTGTGACTTGGGCCCAGCGTGGACTGCTGCCTTTGCAGCCTCCAGGTGGAGCCTTACCTTCCGTTCAGCAGCAGGGCCATGGCTTTGGTTTGCAGCTGCTGGTTCATCCTGTGGCAAGAACAGGCCTCAGCCTGACACCCAGGGTTTGGCCCTGCTCCCCTGTCTGTACGCCACTCCCAGTGGCTTACACCTGTAGGTGAACCAGCAGCCTATCCAGTGGCACCTCATTCTTGACCAGCTGGCCCAGGGCAGGGCTGCTCAAGGTCACGCTCTCCAGAAGCCGAAGGGCTAGGGGCTGCACAGAGGCATCCATCAGGTTCATGTTCACGTAGCACACCACCTGTGAGGGGCAGTGGGAAGTCACCACTTGCCATCATGTAACACCAGATCCCGGCATCGCCCACTGCCCCTAGAAAAGCCCACCTACCTTCCTGACGAAGGGGATGCTGAGTGTCTCCCAGGACACCACGCCATGCTCCATGAGCTCCAAGAAGGCCCTCAGCCCAAGGGCCAGCACCTCCCCTAGGCTAGGGGGACATCTGGGGCTGAGCAGGACCAGACCAGGGACCCCAAGCCCCACCGTGTCCCCCAAGCCCACCATAGCCCTGCGCTCACTCGTCCCCATCCTCAATGATGGTGCCTAGTCTCTGAAGCCCATCTCGACTGATGACCTCACGGGCAAAGGTCAAGTCTGAGGCCAGCGGGACGAGGTGCTTCAGGGCTTCCCGGCGCCCATCCCGGCTCCCTCTCTGCAGCCTACCCAGCAGCTGCTCAGCCTCCAGGTCCTGGTGGAGCACTCTGCAGCCTACCCCGCAGCTGCTCAGCCTCCAGGTCCTGGTGGAGCAGGGGCGGGGGCAGAGGTGAGGAGGCTAGTCAGAAAGGACAGGACTGGAAATGTGGGGATGCAGGTGGCCACTAGGTGGAGCACTGCCGGGCCAGGGCCTCCAGACCTGGGGCAGAGGTGCACCAGGCAGAAAAGAGGCTCCGCAAAGGGGCAGGGAAGGAGGGGGTGGGCCAGGAGGGGCATTACTGGGGCTGTGCTCAGGCACAGGATGCTGCCATTCTTGATCTCCGTGCGGTTCTAGAGAAAAGGAAGGGGAGCGAGGTCAGGGTGGCTCTGAGGCGCGGTCACCTGCGTGGTCAGTAAGTGCGGATTTGGGGATCAGTAAAAGATCACATTCTCGCTAGGGGATGAAGCAGGACCAGGCGCGTGAGGGGCCGTAGGTGGAGCGTGGGGGCTGGGGGAGAGGACTCACGTTCTCGGTGATGTACCTCCTGTGCCCATCGGCAAACTGCAGGGCATAGCGCTCAGAGTGAGTCAGGCTCCACCTGCGGGCCCAAGCTCGTCAGGCAGGTAGGGGGTCGGGGGAAGGGCATATCCTCCTTCCTATCCACCCACCCACTCCCCGCCCCACCCGGCCTGCCGGTACCCACGCGTCGCACACCTCCTTCAGCACTGTGGCCAGGGGCTTCGCCTGCAAGTGGAGCGGTCACTCTGGGGCCCAGAGTGGGGAAAAGCCTGGGGGGAGGGGGCGGGCTGCTCCAAGGGGAAGGGGGTGACCCAGAGGTGGGCGGTGGGGCGGATGGAGGCTGGACAGGCCGGGTGACCTGGTCCAGCTGGATGAGCTGCGGGATGGCGTCACGCATCTGGACAGCAATCTTCACCACGTTCCGCGGGGGCGCCATGGTCTGGCCGGGGCGTAGGCGTCCGTTCTTTCCAGACGGTCCGACCTCCCGCTGAGGGCGCACCGGGTCTGGGACCCCTGCGGACGAAGGGGTCGTTCCTCGGCCGGTACCTCTCCTCAGGGGCCCACACTCCCAGCCAGACTCGGCGCCTTCCCAAAGGAACAGAGGCTAGTTCCGGGTTGGAGTCCCGGGGCAGGAGGGTAGGACGGCGCCTGCTCTGCCCCGCCCCGGCCCCGCCCCGCCCCAAGGTGCGGCAGGTGGGGGCGGGGAAGGTAGGCTGCTGCTGTCCGCCCCAGACTCCACCTCCCTTTACAGCAAGGTGACCCACCCAGGCCCAGCGCTCCTCCACCATGGTCCCAGGGGAGGGGCCCCAAAAGAACCAGATCAGAGGTAGCCTTTGGCAGGGTCTTTATTCACTTGGACACTGTACAAATATTACAATTTCCTTTTGCTGCAAAAAGTATAAAAATAATCTTTATATAGGAATCCATTTGTTACTGTAAATCTTTCTAAATCTCTGCAAATGGCTCTAAGTGAGGGCAAATGAGTAAAAGTGGGGATGGACCTGCCCAGATTCCTTCTTGTCAGCACCTGATCACCACCTCGGCAGGCTCTCAGGGCTAAGGGCCCAGCAGAAGTGGGCAGGAGAGGTCCAGGAGCAGCTGGGTTGGGGGGGGAAGCTGGGAGGGTGCTGGCGAGCATCCAGCTCACCCACCCTTCCTCCTAAGGGGAGGGCTGGCAGGAGCAGGGCAGGAGGATGGACAGGCTGCCTTCGGGGAGCAACGGTGGGTCCTCAGTTCTGCACCACCAGGTGGCAGCCAAACCGGGGCTGGGGGAGGCCCCAGGAGAGGCAAACACTGGCTCCGTGGGAGAAGGGCTGAGCCCCTTTTGCCTGCTCTGCTAGCACCGCACAAGAACCAGTGCAGCGTGGGGGCTATGGCCAGAGTGTGTGGTGAGGAAAGTCTGGGGAAGCTGGGAGGCTGTGGCTCTCAAGCTTTGGAGGGGTTGGGGATTGAGGGGTCCCAGGCAGCCCCAGGTCAGACAGTCTGGGTCCCAGCCACACAGGGCAAATCCCGTCAGTCAGAGGTTGAGAACAGGCACATCAAAGAGGTCACAGACGCCTTCGCTCTCATCCAGATTGTAGATGTAGTCGTGGTCTCCAGGGGGTGGAGAAAGACGGAGAAGCGGGGCAAACACTGCAGAGAGCACAGGCTCAGAGCCTAGGCCAAGGCCCCAGAAAGCGGCCGACCCTGCCCACCTCTAACCCCCACCTTCCTGGGCCACCCACCTTCTGAGGACATCAACTCCTCCAGCAGCTCCGAGCTCATGCATTCTGGAAATGGAGAGAGAGCTGTTACATTCTGGTTCCCACCAGTCCACCTACCAAGGGCTAGGAAGGGGAACCCCCTCACCAAATCAGCTTTACCTTTTGCCCCAGATACTACGTAGAACCACAAGGCTCTTGGAAGGGCAAGAAACAGCCATAGGACCCAATGAGCTGTGTCCCTTACCCCCAGCCCCAGGGAGGAAGGCAGCCTACCTCGTGTGGGATCAAAGATTTCCGACAGCTCTTTTGGGAGTTCCAAAACTGAAAGACAAGAAAGCTACACTTAGGGCCAGCAGGTGCCATGGAAGTTAATATGCTAGATACCACACAGTCAACAGTGTGGTTTGAGTCCCAGACCCAGTGGCTTGAAAATCATGCTGGGCTTGGGCCGGCAGGTGGCATGGTGGTTAAGGGCACTAGACTCCCACATGGCTGACTACAGTTCGAGTCCTAGACTTGGTGGCTGATTTCTCACTTTCTCTCTCTCTCATTCTGTCGCTCACTGGTCAAATTAAAAAATAAAGTTAAAATCATTCTTCTTAAAAAAAAAAAAAAAGAAAAGAAAAACTATGCCAGGTACCTGTATGTGCGCTCAAAATCTCAAGAGACTGGAAAAGGGACTGAGGTGTGGCCATCCCCCCCGGGTGTGATCTCTCTCTCTCTGTCTCTCTGGTGAGTGCACACACCTTATAACTAAAAAGAAAGCCACAATTAAGACACAGAGGCCCAGCCTGGTCCCTTTATGAGCCCTACTTTGCCCGGAATCTTTACCACCCACCCTGGGTCTCCACACAACTGAGGAGATGTAACCACCACCCCCCAGGCCAAGTCAGCATTGTTTGGTGGTCTCCCCTCCTAGATTTGACTTCCTGAGTGCTAAGTCCAGGGTACTAAAGGCCCATCACTGGTGACTGGTAAAGCCCCTTTAGCCCCAAGGCACTGCAGAAGGGCGACAGCCTTACAGCCCTTCTCGGTTCAGTATGCACGTCCTCTCTGACAGAGGGTGCACCATCCATCCCACCCATGTTGAGTTCCTGCTCTGGGTCAGGCTCAGAATCCCCACACTGGTCAGGCCACCTGACAGAGGCAGAAGTAGACATTTCATCAGGGGCTGGCGCTACAGGGCAATGACTCCACTACAAAGCTCTGACTGGGAGGACACATGGTCAGAAAAAACGAAACTGGATAGGACCACAAGGGATGTCACAGGCCAGGCTTAGGCACTTACACTTCACCTAGCAGGCCTTAGGGAATTATTAAAGGTACTTTTGTAAGCAGAAATATACCACAGTCAAGGAACAGCAGATGGCATAATGGTTATGTCGCTGGACTCCCACGTAGTCGACCACAGTGTAAGTCCTGGACCCGGTGGCTTGAAACTCACACCAGGTGCATGCGCGTGTGCACCCAAGATCCCAAGAGACTGGAGGAGAAAGGATGGCAGCATGGCCATCACCCCAGGGGGGTGATTTCTCACTTTCTGTCTCTCAGACAGAGAACATATCTCCTATAGTAAAAATATCTCTCAAAAAAAAAAAAAAAAAGAAAAAAAGAAAAAAAGAAAGAAATATGCCAGTCAGGGCCAGCAGGTGGTGTGATGGTTAAGGCGCTGGATCCCACAAGGCCAACTGTGTGGTGCAAGTCCCAGACCCAGTGACTTGAAAAACATGCCAGGCCTGTGTGCATGATGTGCAAATTCAAAGAGAAAAGGGAATGCAGCATGGCCATCCTCCCAGGAAGTGATTTCTCACTTTCCCTTTCTCTTTCCAGTGAATGCACTTGCTCTATAGCAAAAAATTAAGAAAAAAAAAAATGGTTTAATTAAAAAAAGCCAGTCAGGCTTACATATCAGAAAGATGATTTTGTCAGTCAGGGCAAAGAGAAGGATACTGAAAAAACCTAGAACAGAGGTGGCCAGGAGTAATTCTGAGAGCTGAGGATGCAGAGCAGGTGAAGATGCATTGGACAGACCTGGCTTAGCTGATGCAGGGTGGGCAGCAGGGGCAGGAGAAGGGAGAGGGAGGCATAATGGGAAACCCAGGTGTCAGGCCTGGGAGACTAGGGCCAATGGGAAGGTGTGCACAGAGGTGGAAAAGCAAGTTTCAGGAGGAAGATGAATTGGGCCAAGGACACGTAAGAATGAAGTAGCCACTGTGTGTGTAGAGAACGGCAAGTAAGCACAGAGGGGTGGAGATGCACGGGCAGGGCCAGCAGGGCGTGCGGTGGCTAAGGTGCTGGATCCTTGGCTAAAGATCTAGGAAGGGGGAGGTATGGGACTCTTCTATACAGAACTGGGGTCCTCCCCAGAGCTCTGCGATGCATAGAGGGGTTAAGGCAGTGCCAGGAAGAGATCGAGCACCCAGTGAGGTAGAAGAGCCAGAGCTGCACATTAAAGCCACAGGAGGAGAAAAGAAAATCTCAAAACGGAGCAGGAGCACACCACGGCAGGTCACCCTAGAAACCAGCTAGGCTTGGGGGTCAGGGCTCTGGCAAGTCCAGAACAGCACTGCTGTAGCATGGGGTAGGTCCTGCCAGCTGCAGCCTGAGGGGCCTCGACCAAAACATGGAGAAGGGTAGAGACAGGGAAGGAGAGAGGAGAGACAGAGGAAGAAGTGTCAATGAGTGAGATAAGGACTTAGTGAGGTTCCATAGGGTGGCAGGAAGGGCTTGAGAGAGACCAGAGTTCTGTGCTAGCGTGGAAAGGGAGGCAACAGGAGCACCAGCACTGACCCGGAGGTTGAGCACTTCACCCAGGCTAGCAGAAAGTACTGGGGTGCCAGGCAGGGACTGACAAGAGAGCTGCCCCAACTATGGCCCTGACCTAGGACTGGGCAGAGGCTGGACTCTCCCTGCCAGGGTGGGCACATACTCACCGTCCGTGGGCTCCGCCTTGATGGGCTCAAAGGAGGTAGAAGGGTTCGGTCCGGATAAACTGCTATTGCTGCTGCTGCTGCTGCTGCTACTGCTGCTGTCCAGCAAGGCTGAAGACTGCAGCGGCCGGGTGTCCAGTGCTGTCGAGCCCAGTGGGAGTGAGCTGAGCTCACCACTGTCCTTGCTGTCAGCTCCGGGGCCACCACTCACTGCAAGCACATCCCCCGAGCCCAGTCACATGGGAGAAGGAAGAGGTCACCGAACCTGCCTGTGCTAGAACCCACGGCCAGGATGACCTCAGTCCTGGTTCCAGACCCAAAGAGAATTGGGCACTGCCAGGCACCCCAGTAGAGGTAACCTGGAAACGGGTCACTAAGTAAAACAAAGGCACCAGCCTGTAGGAGGGGATTCATGACCCACAAGGCTATGTGGTAGTATTTTGAGGGAAGACCCAGGTAAGCAAGACACCAATGGGTCGGGGCAAACTCACCACTCATGCCCCTTCACAAAGGCAGAGCTTCCCTGTGAAAACAGGCTCTTCACTCGCATAGTAATGGGAGGCTAAGTGGAGTCAACAAAAGGGCCTCCCCTCCCCAGCCTCTTCACTGAACACAGGGTTTCACAAGCAGTTATGAGCTCTGAGGCCCCAGAAAATAACCCACTCACCAGCTGCCCACTGCAGCTCACCTGTAATCTCAGCTGCTGGACTGGCCACCCCCTGGACTTCAGTGCCACTAGGGACAGGGGTGGGGGTGGTCAGCTGGGGACTACTTGGACGCGAGGCTTCCTGGGGCTGGATTAGTGCAGGCTTGGGCAGAGGTGGCGGGGTTGAAACAGCAGGCGGGCCCTGGAGCAGATCTTCAGGTGGTGGCACGGGCACAGCCACAGGTGGGGAGCTCCATGCTTCCTTGTTCACCAGCAGCACCTCGATGGGGCCACTCACACTTTTCAGGTGAATCTGGTACTTCTTCTGCCCATTGAGACCCTGGAGGGGGGTAGAAGGGGTTGGGGGACAGGAAGAATTGCAAGCAAGCTCAACTCCTGTCTGACCCAAGATCAGGGCCATGATGTCCTCTCCACCCAGGCTGCCCATCCTCCTAGATAACCCCGAACTCCAGGCCTCCCCTACCTGCCCCACCCGGGACTTATCAAGCTCCACAGCCAGCACCCGTCTTCAATCAACCCCGCCTGCCTGGGCTGAGCACCCACCTCTGGGATAGGCACCTCCAGGCTGGTGCCCGATGGGGCCCGGATGGCCAGGAGAGTGTCTCCTAGAATGACAAGGAGAACAGGTCAGGGCCATGGGCTCAATCTGAGCTGGGAATGGAGGTGCCTGCCCCTTGGAGCAAGACAGGAGAGCATGGTGTCTGAGGACTAGCCAGCTAGAGGGTAGGCCTCACTCATCTCCCACAGTGGCTGGGTCCGAGCTAAAGCTTTTGTTTCCCTGAGAGCCCAGGGTCAATAACCAGGAAATCTGGGTTCAAACATGCGGAGTAAAGATCGCTGACATGGGCACCTTACTCCTTGATTGATGGGGCTGATCCCTAGGTATAGGTGTTCTGGTCAAGACCAATGTCCCTTTCCCAGGACCAGCCTGAGGAAGACGAAAAGAAAAAGACAGGCTCCTGTATCCACGATGCTACTGAACTAACTGCAGGTTGGAAGCGGATACCATTGTGCTGCCACTCCCTCCCACTCCCCCCCCAATACAAACATTCCGGAGCATGCACACAAGGGCGCACAGGCACGCACACAGACCCACACATGGGTGCACGTGTGCGCACTTCCCCCACCCTTATGCTCCATCATACCCAAGAAGTCAAACGCAGGGACAATACAGAGAGGGGCAATCCCAGAAGCCCACCCAGGATTCTTGAATACTCTCAGCAGAGCTGGCCCCCAGAGTCCTAGGGACCTTCCAGCAGAGGACCTACCCTGTCTGGTTCCTCTTGGGCAGGCCCCAGGAACCCTCTGAAGGCATCTTGTTGGGCTCTGCACTCAGTGCTCAGGGCTGTGGCTCTGCCTAGCCCCCCCTCACATCCCCCTCCCCAGGCTCTGCTCACCAGCAAAGCATCTGCAGATGTCCTCATGAGTCACGTAGGCCAAGGTGTGGGGGTTAAGGAGAACGGCTGACGCCCTGACTATGATGACAGATGGCAGGCCACAGAGAAGACCTGCACTTTCACAGAGGCATGACACATAAGCTCTCAGAGAAAGTTCCCGGGCCTGGGGTCCACATGAGGAGGGATCACAACCCAAGAATGGAGGGGGAGAGGCTCTGAGGAAGGAGCCTGAGGCTGTAGGACCATCTATACCAAGAGGGACAGGAAACAGGGCCCAGGGCACCATGGAACAAACCCAGCTGGACCCAGAGCCCCTTGCCCACTGCCCCAGAGCAGAGACGGCCAGGAGGATATCAGCTGTTCTGCACGTCCTCTGTGACGTTCCGGATGCTCTGCTGCACCCACACCTTGTGCTGGTCCAGTTCTTGCTCACGCTGCTGCAGCTCCTCGATCTCAGCCTTGAGCTCAATCAGCTTGTCAGCAATCTCCCGGGTATTGCAGCCAGGCCCCACGCCCCTGAGGCCAGGGAGTGCAGTTCAGAGGAACGGCCAGGACCTCTGGGTCCCCTCGCTGCTGCTCTCTCCGCCCCACATCCCTGACATTTCTGGACAGATCCCTCTGCCCTCCCGGTCAAACCCACTCACTTCCACTGGATGCTGTTCTTGGACTTTTTCTCGATCAGCCCAATACCTTCCAACACGTTGGTAATGTCATAAATCCGCCGCTTCTGCCGCACAGCTAGGGTGTCAGCTGCCTGGCAGACAAAACAGAGTGGAAATGCTCAGATCTTGTCTTAGGCGTACCCCTCGGCTACTTCAAGACTCGGTTGGGGTTGCTCTAGGAAAGGGTAGCTGAGATCCCAATCCGGGGACGCCTCCGAGGCACTACAGCAGCTCAAAACTGCAGGACGGAATGAGACCTGGCCCAGCCCGGAACTGATGCTCAGATGCTCTTCTCCCCACCGCAGCAGGGGAGGGCCACGCGGAGCAGCACCTGCAGCCCCGAGCCTGGCACACAGCTGACGCTCAATGGCCTCGGCCGAATGAATGAAACAGCCCCCAGCCTCTCGCCTGTGAGGAAGCACACAGATGGCGGCAGGCTCTCGGAGGGCCCAGCGGGGCCGCCCCGGGGGTTCCCCCTACCGGCCCAGTCCACCATTTCTCTGTCCCGTCGCCCCTTAGCCCGGCCGCACCAGCTTGAGGTCAAGCACGCCGTCCTTGGCCTCCTGCAGGAGAGACACGAACTTGGTGGTGAGAAGTCCCAGGCTCTTCTCGTGACGGCTTGGGGTGCCTGGGGGCGGCGGCGCCTGTGGCCCGGCCTCCGCCATCGCGCCCGCCCGCCGCCTCCCCTCCGCCAGGCCAGGCCAGGCCGGCGCCGCCGCCACTTCCGCTTCCGTTCCCGGCCACCCGGCCCGTGGCCCCCGGCATCGCCGCTTCCGCTTCCGTCCCGCGACTTGCTAGGGAACCCGGTGCAATTCCTATCTGCTGGCGCGGACGCAAAATTTAGGCACTATAAGCAAATGCCCAATTGCCAAACAATACGAAAACAGCCAGGGAACGATGGGCGATTGGACAAGTTAAGAAGGGACGTGGAAGAGGTCACTGGGAGCCTTGGCAGTGGAAAAGGAGAAGCCACTGGGACCTTCTCTTACCAGTCTGCCCCAACACCACTAACTATGTTCCAGCACCCCTCAGAGAGGAGACCATACTGTCAGATAAAGCCAAACTGTCCCCTAAATCTGCACCCACTCTTTTCCTGTTTCTTCATGACAAACAGCGGCACTCACTACAACTAGCTTGTGCGTGTCTTTCTATTCCTACCCCATTCCCTGGTCCCAGCCTCATTCCTCCCCCACCCAGAGGGCACATGCCCCATGGGTAGCGAGAAAGAAAGCACGCTTCCCAGATGGCACACAGTTAGGCAGCTCTCCTCTCTCCTCCATTTCTCCATCCCCTCCCATCCCATTAGGGCAGGCTCACACACGCACCCAGGGTGTTTTTCAAGCCAGTGTCCAGGATTCCAACTGCTGTTCTCCATGCGGGATTTGGCTTCCCTACCCACTGAGCTAAGGGGTCAGCCTCCTGCTTCATCTTTCTCTTATTTCCACACCAACGTGCTCAAGGTCTATGGGAGTATACCGCATTTTTAAAAAAATGAATTATTTTCTTTAACTATTTTTTTTTTGGAGAGGTTTTTGCTATAGGGCGCTTGCGCTCACCAGACAGACAGGGAGAGACTTAGAGACAGAAAGCGAGAAATCACCCCCCAAAGGGGATGGTCACACCGCAATCCCTTCTCCTCCATTCTCCTCTCGGGATCTTGGGCATGCACGCACATGCGCCCGGCGTGAGTTTTAAGCCACCAGGTCCGGGACGTGAACCGCGGTCGACTACGTGGGAATCCAGCAACAT